GAATGGTGCCAAACTAGAGTTCTTAAAAATCTCCATAGGCGACGCTTTAAACATTTCTACAGGTTCCCAGTTTAGAGTTAGAGACAAGGTCCAGTGCTAGAATTATTGCTCTCACTCTGATGTTCACAGTGATACCTCACATGTGGGATTTGAACACTGATTACGTATGTGGACTAATCACTGTACTGGTGTCACTGGGGATGTCAGTGACAGTCAGTTCCCCCCCAGTGTCTGAATGCCCGCCGCAGTCCCGCTATAAGTCGCTGATCACCGCCATTACTAGTATAAAAAAATAAAAATTCAAGTATATATACAGCCATTTGTAGATGCTATAGCTTTCACGTAAACCAATTAATTCACATGTATTGGATTTTTTTAAGCAAAGACATGGAGCAGAATACATTTTGGCCTAAATGTATGAAGAAATTAGATTTTTTAAATTTTGTTACTGGACATGTCTTATAGTAGAAAGTCAAAAATATTCTTTGTTTTTTTCTAAATTGTCAGTCTTTTTTTGTTTATAGCGCAAAAACTAAAAAAACGCAAAAGGTGATAAAATACCACCAAAAGAAAGCACCATTTGTAGGGAAAAAAAGAACATAAATTTAATTTTAGGTGCAGCGTTGCATGACCACACAATTATCAATGAAATTAACGCAGCGCCATATTGAAAAAAATGGCCTCGTCAGGAAGGGCGGTAAATCCTCTGGAGGGCGAGTGTTAATGTAGTGCATGCCACGTGTAACAGTTTCATGTGCTATTATATTTCCACAGGGAACTTAACCCCCCCCCCAACCCAGGGTGGCAGTGTGTGCAATGCACATTCTTGCCTTTCCAACAAGGCAACAAAGAAATAGCTTGTGGACTGCCTCTCTCTAGCTCAGGGGTCTCCAAACTTTCTAAATAAAGGGCCAGTTTACTATCCTTCAGACTTTAGGGGGGCCAAACTGTGGCCATTGGGAGTAGAAAACGTCCCAACGTCAGTAAGAATAGACAATACCCCATCAAAACAGCGCTCTCAACCTATAACTATATATAGGTATCATATACCAAAAATAAAATATAAAATAAATTAAATTTAAATTAAACTGCCACCAAATAAAGTGCAACTAAGTGCAAAAAAAACATAAGTCAGTGTATATCAAACATATATAGACTCCAACATAAAGCCCATTTAAATAAAGTCCATATTAAATATATGATCTTCCTTCAATGAAAATATGGAATCTTTCTTGCATATAAAATATTCCTCCACAAATGTGAATATTTCAGTGCTCAACACCCCATCAAAGTGCAAACTCACCAGATACTGGTGATAAACCAGCATATCTTTCAAATATCAATGGATGTGGAAAAATCAGCAGCATATCGATAATACTCATTCATCAGATGATCTCAATACTCTCCATCATGGTAATTATAAGCCTCATGTGAATAGATAGAAAACCCTCGCCATAGCGTAATACCGTTTAAATGTTTATTCATCAGAATTCCCCCTGTAAGACCACACTCACATTGTGCAAGTAAATATAAAGCCTTTTAAATGTAAAAGCCGTTTCCAGCCTGGGTGTGATCAGCAGTGGGTTACGCTAGCTCTTATAGAGCCACTCGTTCTCCCATAGGATACCATTAATTACCGCACTGATACCCTCTAATGAGAGAACTCATGATGACCTATACTCCACTAATTGCCTGTACCAGACATCTTTACAGGGGGGAACCGTATAGATACTCCTTGCTGCCATCCATCTCATCATATCACGACTCGACTACTGCAACTCCCTCCTCACTGGCCTGCCTCGCCGCTGGCTATCCCCGCTTCAGTCCATCCTGAATACGGCTGCCAGACTCATTCACCTTTCCAACCGCAACCGCTCCATCTCCGCCACCCCCCTCTGCCAATCCCTCCACTGGCCTCCACTCAGTGTCCTCCACCCCCCTCTGCCAATCCCTCCACTGGCTTCCGATTGCGCAACGGATCAAATTCAAAATCCTAACGCTGACGTACAAAGCTGTCCACCATACTGCCCCGAACTACATCTCTGACCTAATATCCAAGTACCACCCAACACGCACACTCCGCTCCTCACAAGACCTCCTTTTCTCTAGTTCCCTGGTCTCCTCCTCCCATGCCCGCCTCCAGGACTTCTCCAGGGTGTCGCCCAGCCTCTGGAACTCCCTGCCCCAACCCATCAGATTATCACCTACTCTCCTCTCCTTTAGGCGCACCCTGAAAACCCATCTCTTCAGGGAAGCCTACCCCCTGCTAACTTGACCGACCTCCTCCACTCTTCCTACCACTCCATCCCCCACAGCTATCTCCTCCTGTGCCACCATCCCCTCCCTCCTAGATTGTAAGCTGGAAAGAGCAGGGCCCTCGATCCCCTCATGTTTTGCATTGTATTGGTATTGTTCTGTCACATGTTCTGTCCCCCTTTGTAATGTACAGCGCTGAGTGAACTATTGGCGCTTTATAAATACTGTATAATAATAATAATAATAATAATCCTGTGTTCAATCACCATAATGTCAGTGCCATCTTTTAAAAAATTAATAATAACAATAATACAAATTAATCATCCAAACAATATATACCAATATAAGTATATCAAAATCATAGTAATATAATATTAAATAAATTAAAATAAAATACATAATTCAAAATTAATTAATAATCACTAATAAAGCAATTCAAATCTAAATCAACATTAAGACCATTGGGGGTCAGAGCATCAGTCAAATATATCCATCTGGTTTCACATCTACATAATTCTCTTATTCTGTTTGACCCGTGCCACATACGAGGACAATATATTGTGTCTGTGCACTTTAGAAAATACCATAATCGAGATCCTTCCTGTATAAAATTTTGGGGAATGGATTCCATTCCTCGTATGTGGCACGGATCAAACAGAATAAGAGAATTACCTAGATGTGAAACCAGATGGATATATTTGACTGATGCTCTGACCCCCAATGGTCTTAATGTTGAATTAGATTTGAATTGCTTTATTAGTGATTATTAATTAATTTTGAATTATGTATTTTATTTTAATTTATTTAATATTATATTACTATGATTTTGATATACTTATATTGGTATATATTGTTTGGATGATTAATTTGTATTATTGTTATTATTATTAATTATTTAAAAGATGGCACTGACATTATGGTGATTGAACACAGGATGGCAGCAAGGAGTGTCTATACGGTTCCCCCTGTTAAGATGTCTGGTACAGGCAATTAGTGGAGTATAGGTCATCATGAGTTCTCTCATTAGAGGGTATCAGTGCGGTAATTAATGTTATCCTATGGGAGAACGAGCGGCTTTATAAGAGCTAGCGTAACCCACTGCTGATCACACCCTCAGACGAAGTCGTGTGATGAAACGCGTTAGCGCATGATCGAGCAATGACGTTATCACGCACGCCGTTATCACGTGACCGCAACCATGTCATCTGTTGTAGGCTGGTGAGACACCACTGTGTGTGCTGGGAGCAGTGTACTGTGTGCTGCAGGCTGGAAATGGCTTTTACATTTAAAAGGCTTTATATTTACTTGCACAATGTGAGTGTGGTTTTAAAGGGGGAATTCTGATGAATAAACATTTAAACGGTATTACGCTATGGCGAGGGTTTTCTGTCTATTCACATGAGGCTTATACTTGCCTTGATGGAGAGTATTGAGATCATCTGATGAATGAGTATTATCGATATGTTGCTGATTTTTCCACATCCATTGATATTTGAAAGATATGCTGGTTTATCACTAGTATCTGATGAGTTTGCACTTTGATGGGGTGTTGAGCACTGAAATATACACGTTTGTGGAGGAATATTTTATATTCAAGAAAGATTCCATATTTTCATTGAAGGAAGATCATATATTTAATGTGGACTTTATTTAAATGGACTTTATGTTGGAGTCTATATATGTTTGATATACACTGACTTGTGTTTTTTTTTGCACTTAGTTGCACTTTATTTGGTGGCAGTTTAATTTTATTTATTTTATATTTTATTTTCGTTATATGATACCTATATTTAGTTATAGGTTGAGAGCGCTGTTTTGTTGGATTTCACACATTTTGTTACATATAATTTAATTTATTTAAGAATAGCAGCTCTAATTAAATAATTTCTTGGGAATATTACATTCATAATGTGCGATGTTATAGGCTCTGGGATATATTGATAGTTCTATCGATATCATCCTTTTGCCTGTATATCTTACATTTACATAATACCCCATCTTTGGTGTCAGTGGGAGGAACTGTGCCCCGTAGTTGGTGTTATTGAGCGAAATTGTGCCCCATAGTTGGTGTCATTAGGAGCAATTGTGCCCCATCATTGGTGTCATAGGAAGGAATTGTGCCCCATCATTGGTGTCAGTGGGAGGAATAGTGCCCCATCATTGGTGTCATAGGAAGGAATTGTGCCCCATCATTGGTGTCAGTGGGAGGAATAGTGCCCCATCATTGGTGTCATAGGAAGGAATTGTGCCCCATCATTGGTGTCAGTGGGAGGAATAGTGTCCCATCATTGGTGTCATAGGAAGGAATTGTGCCCCTTAGTTGGTGTCATTGGGGGGGAATTATGCCACATTGTTGGTATCAGTGGATGAAATAGTGCCCCAAGGGCTGAATAAAAGCAAGCAAAGGGCCGCAGTTTGGACACCACTGCTCTGATACTTCATACAGAACTTTACCAATTAGATCCAGGTAGGGATATGTATCTTCTTACTGGACTCTATCTGCTGAATAGAGATGAAGGCAGGGGATCAAATTACTTATCTTTACTGCAATGCAGTAAAGAGTTGCAAAAAAACCCTGCAGTCAGCAAATGTTAGAGCGCCACCAGCTGTGTGCATTTAGTAACTATTAAATAGCCATAAACAACCATTTATGTTAAAGATTTATGTTAATGTAACTAAAAAGAAGACATAATAAATACAAACACAAAATATTGCTGTAAATGATTTGCTAATAAATGTATTAATTGAATAAATAGTGTTTTGTTTTTTTTGCATCTTATTGGTATTCTGCTACAAGTCAGCAGCACCAGAAGGCGCCGAGCAGGAATTATTGTTGTTACCTCTCTCTCCAGCTCTTTCACTTTGCTACTCAGCTGTTTCACTTTGGTCTTCTCACTCTCCAGCTCAGCGCTGAGCTCCCGATTCTTCTTGGACAATTCCACAATTTTTGTTGCTGCAACATCTCCTGCTATCCCGGCTGTTCCTGAGAGCAGACACACCAAGGGGGGGGGGTGATTTATGGTACATCAAGATTAGTTTTACTGTATATTACATTAAAGGGGAAGTATGGGATTTTAAAAAAGTGATGCTGCAGCTGTCTCATATTGACTCTGAGAACTCAGTGCTCACCTAGAGCAGAGACTGGTGACTGTCAGACAATGCTATCCGCTATTCCCCTCCAGCACTCACTGGAGTGCCAGGCTGTGGAGGGGGCATGAGCGGCTGTCAATCAATCAGTGGGGTGGATCATGACAATATTGTTGCGATGCTCCCTGACCCTGGAGCAGCTCAGCTCCATCAGCTGACAGTGGGCAAAAGCTTGCTGACTCTGGGTCACAAGAGGACAAAAGTAAGTGCACTCCTGTGACCCACAGAAGTATAGACAAAAAAGGCTTTGACCATACTTCTTTTTTTAATGCCTCCACATGTCTGTCATAGTTCATTCATAATTGTGAATTCTCTGAATAGTTCTAATACTTCAAGTGCATGTCAGGGTAAAAAAATATATATATATTTTAGTGCATCTCTGCAATACATGCACATTTTCCTCATTTACGCATTGAAAGCACAAAAAAAAAATCGTTGAGAGAGTTCCTAATGTCTTGTTTGGTCAGACAACACAGTGCCTCTGCTCCAATGACATCTGGAACAGCATGGTCAGCCCTGCCTGTTGGACTACAAAACTCCTCCTATCCCTCATCACTCTCTGTCCTTCTCCACATGTATAGCCCCTTTGCGCCGGTGCCTCCGGCCCTTTAAGAGTTTCAGAAGCCGGGAAGCGGGGCTTTAGGTTCATGACCATCGTGATTTGCTGTCACGGCGGTCACATGATTGGAAAAGGTCCCGATCGCATGAGAGGATCGGGACCTTTCCGTGAGTCACGGACATATGTGCTGTGCTGGGAGCGTGCGCTTGCAGCACATATACAGTCATGGCCGAAATTGTTGGCACCCTTGATATTTCTCCAGGAAATCATGTATTTCTCACGAAACGTATTGCATTAACACATGTTTTGCTATACACATGTTTATTCCCTTTGTGTGTATTGGGACAAAACAAAAAAAGGGAGGAAAGAAAGCAAATTCGACATAATGTCACACAAACCTCCAAAAATGGGCTGGACAAAAGTATTGGCACCCTTTCACAACTGCGGATAAATAAGAATGTTACAAGCATGTGATGCTCCTGTAAACTCACCTGGGGCAAGTAACAGGTGTGGGCAATATAGAAATCACACCTGAAAGCAGATAAAAAGGAGAGACGTTCACTTAACCTTTGCATTGTGTGTCTGTCTGTGCCACACTAAGCATGGACAACAGAAAGAGGAGACGAGAACTGTCTGAGGACCTGAGAACCAAAATTGTGGCAAAATATCAACAATCTCAAGGTTACAAGTCCATCTCCAGAGAACTAGATTTGCCTTTGTCCACAGTGCGCAACATTATCAAGAAGTTTGCAACCCATGGCACTGTAGCTAATCTCCCTGGTCGTGGACGGATGAGGAAAAATTGATGAAAGATTGCAACGCAGAATAGTCCGGATGGTGGATAAGCAGCCCCAAACATGTTCCAAAGACATTCAAGCTGTCCTGCAGGCTCAGGGAGCATCAGTGTCAGCGCGAACTATCCGTCGACATTTAAATGAAATGAAACGCTATGGCAGGAGACCCAGGAGGACCCCACTGCTGACACAGAGACATAAAAAAGCAAGACTACAGTTTGCCAAAATGTACTTGAGTAAGCCAAAAGCCTTCTGGGAAAACGTCTTGTGGACAGATGAGACCAAGATAGAGCTTTTCGGTAAAGCACATCATTCTACTGTTTACCGAAAACGGAATGAGGCCTACAAAGAACAAAACACAGTACCTACGGTAAAATATGGTGGAGGTTCAATGATGTTTTGGGGTTGTTTTGCTGCCTCTGGCACTGGGTGCCTTGACTGTGTGCAAGGCATCATGAAATCTGAGGATTACCAAAGGATTTTGGGTCGCACTGTAGGGCCCAGTGTCAGAAAGCTGGGTTTGCGTCCAAGATCCTGGGTCTTCCAGCAGGACAATGACCCCAAACATACGTCAAAAAGCACTCAGAAATGGATGGCAAAGAAGCGCTGGAGAGTTCTGAAGTGGCCAGCAATGAGCCCAGATCTAAATCCCATTGAACACCTGTGGAGAGATCTTAAAATTGCTGTTGGGAAAAGGTGTCCTTCCAATAAGAGAGACCTGGAGCTGTTTGCAAAGGAAGAGTGGTCCAAAATTCCGGGTGAGAGGTGTCAGAAGCTTATTGATGGTTATAGGAAGCGACTGATTTCAGTTATGTTTTCCAAAGGGTGTGCAACCAAATATTAAGTTAAGGGTGCCAATACTTTTGTCCAGCCCATTTTTGGGGTTTTGTGTGACATTATGTCATATTTGCTTTTCTGCCTCTGTTTTATATTTGTTCCAATACATACAAAGGGAATAAACATGTGTATAGCAAAACATGTGTTAATGCAATACCTTTTTTGTGTGAAATACTTGATTTTCAGGAAAAATATCAAGGGTGCCAACAATTTCGGCCATGACTGTATATTTTCAAATGGTATGCAAATATGCAGGCGCTCGGTGTCAAGGCCCAGACGCCGAGAGGCCGCATATTGGCAGGCGCTCGTCGTCTATAGATTTATTTCTATCCCAAGCAAATCAATGCTGTTGCCTTGACTCCCAAGAGTCAGAGAAAGGGCTCTCGGGAAATGTAGTTCTGGGGTGTGCCTGTGTTAATAGGAGCTGCCCCTGCAAGAATTTAAAGCTCTTTTGGCTGTACTTCTGTGGATGACAAGAGTGCAGTGCGTTCTATTTGAACACCCTGCGATTTTGCAAGTTCTCCCACTTAGAAATCATGGAGGGGTCTGAAATTCACATTGTAGGTGCATTCCCACTCTGAGAGAGAATTTAAAAAAAAAATTCAGGAAATCCCATTGTATGGTTTGTAAAGAATGTATTTGTCTTGCACTGCTGAACAGAAGTATTTGAAGACCTAAGAAACAGCAAGAATTCTGGCTCTCAAAGACCTGTTACTGCGCCTTTAAAAAGTCCACCTCTACTCCACTCATTAATCTAACTTAGTAGCACCTGTCTGAGCTCTTTAAAGACACCTGTCCACCCCACAGTCAGTCAGACGCCAACTACTACCATGGGCAAGATCAAAGAGCTGTCAAAAGACACCAGAGACAAAATTGTGGACCTCCACAAGGCTGGAAAGGGCTGCGGGGCAATTGCCAAGCAGCTTGGGGAAAATAGATCAACTGTTGGAGCAATTGTTAGAAAATGGAAGATGCACATCTAAAGGGATGCCAGGAATGTGTTCTTTCATATATCTCTTTAGAAAGAAGATCTAAAGCAGGGTCCATTGACATTTACAGGTGCCTTCTGGCCCCTCCCAGTAAACTCAGAGCAAAGACCTGCATACAGGCCAAAGAATGACATCACTGGGTCTCAATAGAGTTATTTTTTAAAAATCGGACAATTCCTCATTGCACGTTGTATATGCATACATTACACTTCAGCTTTGAGTTGTAATGCTGGTCACAGCTACTGCTCAATTAAAATGTGCTTGCACATGCATCTATTTGCAGATAATTGACATGAAAATAATTATAATAAGACATATTGTTCTATACTTCATAGGTTTGGGGATTACCGGCCAGTGCCACCTTGTCATCTTCTACTTTCCTCCTGAGGTGTCGAATCTCAAACTCTTTTTCTTTCAGAAGTTTGTGCAATCGTCCGTTTTCATCCTGCAGTTCTCGTATTTGTCCCTGCAACTGCTCATTCTCATCCTCCAGGAGCCTGTTCCAAGAGAAGAACTCTGCGATTAAATCCCAAGCAACAGTAAAATGTCTTCCCAGTTACTGCTCAGAGCCATGAAGGATTTACAGTGATGAAGAATGATAAAGACATAGATGTTCCCATCGTGTACTGATGAGCTCATTTCCCTGTCAATCGGATTGGCTCCCTGTGCTGCTACTACCTCTCCTAGTCTGCCCTCTGCTGTTCATGGGGTTCATAACACTTCGAATTCCGTACTTACACTGCTTGCATGTAGAATAATACATTCAGGGAAATTCTTCAACCACTTTAATACTGGGCCAATTCTGACACTTCTTACATATATGTAAAAATCTTACATTTTTTGCTAAAAAATTACTTAAAACTTTCAAACCAGGGGCGTACCTACAGGGGTCGTAATGGCAACCCAGCCCCATGCTCCAGGAGGCCCGTGCAGCCCCTATGTACACCTGGATAGGAGGAGTAGCAGTGGCAGCTGCATACAGAGGAACCGATCTCTCCATTTTCCTCCCGTGGGCATTCAGCGGCTGGAGGAGGAAATTTAAGAGATTGGTTCCACTGTATGCAGTCGGCCCCGCAGCTCCTCCAATCCTGCTTCTTTCTGCTGCCCACCTGCATGCTCTCCTGCCCCCCTATGCTCTTTCCCGGCCCCTCTGTGCTCTTTCCTGGCCCAAGCTCATCCCCTGTAGCTCTGCAGGGTTCCCCCCTCACCTCTCCTGCCGGCTGCTGCGGGGGGATGCTGTCAGGATAGAGTGTGGGGAAGAGGCTGATTAATGTGTCATTTACCGGCCCCTTCCTTGTCTTAACCACTTGCCCTCCAGAGGATCCCCCCCCCTCCTGACCAGGCCATTTTTTGCGTTATGGCGCTGCGTTACTTTAACTGACAATTGCGCGGTCATGCAACGCTGCACTCAATGTATGTCCTTTTTTCCCATAAATAGAGCTTTCTGTCGGTAGTATTTGTTCGCCTGTGCGGGTTTTATTTTTGCGCTATAAACAAAAAAAGACCGACAATTTTGAAAAAAAAATATTTTTTTTTACTATTTGCTATAAAACATGTCCAGTAAAAAAAATTTAAAAACTCAAATCTCGTCATAAATTTAGGCCAAAATGTACTCTGCTCCGTGTCTTTGCCAAAAAAAAATTCCCAATACGTGAAAATTAATTGGTTTATGTGATAGTTATAGCGTTTACAAATGGCGGTATATATACTGGGATTTTTTTCTTTTTTTTTTATACTATTAATGGCGGCGATCAGCAACTTATAACAGGACTGCGGCAGGAATTCTGACACGGGGGGAGGGGGAACTGACTAACTGCCACTGACATCCCCCGTGACACCAATACAGTGATCAGTGCTAGTGAAAAGCACTGACACTGTACTAATGGCACTGGGCAGGAAGGGGTTAACATCTGGGAACATCAAAGGGTTAACTGTGTGCTGTGTGTGTTTTACAAGGGAGACATGCTGTTTTGTATGGGTCTGCTATGCAGAGCCATACAAAACAGTGTGCTGGAGCTGACAGGGGAGAGATCTGTATTGTTTACATACAGACCTCTCCCCTGTCAGTGACACTCGGTGATCGCCGGGTGTTGGCAGGAAATCTCCATCCGGGACCCGGTGATCGACAGCTGTAGCCGCCAATGACGGCGTGGGTAGGGCGCGCGCGCGCCCCCCCTACTACATGGATATACAAAATCTGTATATATATATATATACACACACACACACACACATATATATATATATATATATATATATATATATATATATATATATATATATATACTGTGGCAGTGCGGTATCCTGCCATGGTGGAAATCATGATGGAGACACAGGATTCTCAACTAAACAGGTTGAGGGGCTCCAGGCAGTTCTCACAATGCAGAGGAAACTGATTTATAAGTTTCCTCTTTGGTTTGTAAAGCCTGTTTTGGGACCTGTAGCCTGGAGATTTCTTAGAGATTTGGGAGGGATGAAATCTCCAATCCTGGGCCCATATTTTGGGAGCAGCCAGCGTGCTGATTGCACAGGTGTGTGCAGGCCTTTTAGTGGAGGCCAGGCCATGATCTGGGCTCCACCCCGGCAGTTAGGAGGGCGCCACCCAGGCAGACGGGAGGTCTCTGCCGTGGAGTCAGGTGGGCTACACCTAGGAGAGGTGGAAGCCAGACTAGCTGTGTGCTAGTGCCATACTTTGGGAAGAGTCTGCAGGAGGCAGACTTAAAACTGCGTACAAGCCAGGAGGCTGCATATTGTTTTGCTTGATGGTGGATACCCCTGCGTGGGAAGCATTTTTGTTGTTTGAACTTTCTTAAATAAAAGTGGGCAAAAAAGCCCTGAAAAGAAAGCGAGTTGCTGTGTGCTTTACAAGAAGAGCTCTACCCTTTGAAGCGAGTTCCCACAATACACACACGCGATTTTGCACAGCCCTGCCCCCCTGTAGCAGTATTTGTGCTATACCGCGACGGGGAAGCGGTTAATGGACTTCATAACACATCCGCTTTTGTTCATTGAGATTACAACAAGGTGTGGAAGGCCAACACTGATTTTCTTTCATTCAGCTCACAGAAAGTGACAAGGATGTAGCATTTTTGTCAGATATTTTCAGTACTTGCTGAAAATATTCTCAGCCTGAAAAAAGAAAACTAGTGCAGCCACCACATCTACACTGCAATATGTTTTTTTTTTTGCGTTTTAAATTTTGGTTACGCTTTAGGCCCCTTTCACACGGATGTTCCAATCGGGTCTGCCTGCCCGTTTTTCAGGTGGACCCGATCAGACCCTCAATTCTCCTCTATGGAGCGTTTACACCCGCCGGCATCCAATCCGCCAAAATGAGATGGGTGGGGATCCCCTTCCATTCGTCGGATCGGATCAGATGGCAGTCGAATGGAAATGCGGAGAGGCGGCTTGTTTCCATACAACCCCCATAGAGGACAGCAGGCTGTGCCCATGTTGTCTCTGCATAAGTTGAGTGGACACAGATCTGTCATCTGCTTGCTCAATGGGGATCAGCAGACAGATTCCCCCACTGAGCAAGCAGATCCATTAATGGGTCTGCCCCATGTGAAGGGGGCCTTATGAAAAAAAAAGGACCATTGATGTCAGTTTTAACTTGTGTCCATTAGATGGCGCTAGAGCTCCACAGACTAACAAATACCTGTTTCACAACTGTGACATATTATGACCATAGAGGGAACTTTACCCTCTCTAGCAACTTTCTATCATTTTCCTCCCCCCCCCCCTTCTCTAACAGAACTTGAATGTCGTCTTTTTTTGGACGGGGGGGGGGGGGGGGGGTTCTTTTCTTTACACTTCCTTATTTTTTGCCTAGGCTACAAAGATATGTATTGAGCCCACAGCCTCCCAGGATGCCCCGTCACAGGTCCCAGGAAGCTGAGAGATACTCCATGGTGCAGGCTGAGATAGCTGTTGTATGAACTGGCACTCCCAATAGACGATTTTTATGTAGAGCACATAAAGCACATGTGCGCCAGCAAGGAAGGTGGACCTTAATGCTCGCTTGCAGCATATACATTCACAGAGGCTAAGATCTCTATACTGAGAGCAAGCTCCCAGCGCAGTGACCGAGCTGTCACAGACAGCTCCCAGCCTCTAATAACGCACTTGTGTGCCCAGGGGCGGACTGACCATTTGGAAACTCGGGCACCGCCCGAGGGCCCATGGTCAGTAGGTGGCCCCATGAGATGCCCCTGGTAGCTTTTATAGGCTTTTTTGGGTGTGGTTTGAGTGTGGGCGAGGACACAGGGGCCCCATGATCCCCTATTGCCCGGGGGCCCCATGAGTTGTCAGTCCGCCCCTGTGTGTGCCAGCAAGGAAGGTGGACCTTAATGCCCACTTGCAGCATATACATTCACAGAGGCTAAGATCTCTATATTGAGAGCAAGCTCCCAGCGCAGTGACCGAGCTGTCACAGACAGCTCCCAGATTCTAATTATGATTGGAAGCCAGAAGGATGGCCTACCAATCATGTGACCATTGTGACAGCCAATCACATGATAAGGATGTCTACCCCCCCAATAATAGATGAATGTAGCTCAGTATCTATCATGTGCAGAGCAGTAGTGTTGTATGGAAAGTCTTCACACGTATGTCTGGGGGAAGGTACAATATACAGTGGGGATCGAAAGTTTGGGCACCCCAGCTAAAAATTTGTATTAATGTGCATAAAGAAGCCAAGGAAAGATGGAAAAATCTCCAAAAGGCATCAAATTACAGATTAGACATTCTTATAATATGTCAACAAAAGTTAGATTTTATTTCCATCATTTACACTTTCAAAATAACAGAAAACAAAAAAATGGCGTCTGCAAAAGTTTGGGCACCCTGCAGAATTTATAGCATGCACTGCCCCCTTTGCCAAGCTGAGACCTGCCAGTGTCATGGATTGTTCTCAATCATCGTCTGGGAAGACCAGGTGATGTCAATCTCAAAGGTTTTAAATGCCCAGACTCATCTGACCTTGCCCCAACAATCAGCACCATGGGTTCTTCTAAGCAGTTGTCTAGAAAACTGAAACTGAAAATAGTTGACGCTCACAAAGCTGGAGAAGGCTATAAGAAGATAGCAAAGCGTTTTCAGATGTCAATATCCTCTGTTCGGAATGTAATTAAGAAATGGCAGTCATTAGGAACAGTGGAAGTTAAAGCAAGATCTGGAAGACCAAGAAAAATATCAGACAGAACAGCTCGCAGGATTGTGAGAAAAACAATTCAAAACCCACGTTTGACTGCACGATCCCTCCAGAAAGATCTGGCAGACACTGGAGTTGTGGTACACTATTCCACCATAAAGAGATACTTGTACAAATATGGTCTTCATGGAAGAGTCATCAGAAGAAAACCTCTTCTACGTCCTCACCACAAAAATCATCGTTTGAACTTTGCAAATGAACATATAGACAAGCCTGATGCATTTTGGAAACAAGTTCTGTGGACCGATGAGGTTAAAATTGAACTTTTTGGCCGGAATGAGCAAAGGTAC